GTTGATATCGAGAAGCTGTCGAACTACGTAAGGAAGTTTGGATGGAGGGTTTGCATCGCGAACATGATAGAAACAGAGAAGGTAAGGAGACAAGAGGCGAGGGCGACGGAGGCGAAGAAAGGACCGCGCGGGGGAGGCGAGAAGGCAAGCCAGAAGAACGCCGAGAAGAAGCGGAAGGCGAACGATAGAGTGCGCANTAGAAACAGAGAAGGTAAGGAGACAAGAGGCGAGGGCGACGGAGGCGAAGAAAGGACCGAGCAGGGCAGTCGAACAAGCAAGTCAGAAGAAGTCCGAGAAGAAGCGGAAGGCGAACGATGGTGTGCGCAAAATCTCCAATAGGGAAAAGCGCAAGCTGAGAGTCGGGTCGTGGAACGTGTGCGGGTTCGCAAGGAGTGAGCGCAAGCGGTTGGAAATAGTGGACCAAGTAGAACAAAGCGATCTAGATGTAGTGGGGATCCAAGAGACTTGGGAATTGAAGGATGGTGACGTGGTACGCAAAATAGGGAAGTACCGGTGGGTAGGGAAGGAAAGAAAGGGCTTAGACTAGACCCGAAGAAAAGGGGGGAGGGGTGAGTCGGATTTCTGGTCAAGGAACACTTGTTTGACGTGGTGGAAGTAGTGGTGAAAACGGAAACAGGTAGACGTACAAGCAGCAGGGGACAGGGTGATTGAAGGGTAGGAGTCTATAGTGAACGCAACGGCAGAGAGAGTAGCGAGAAAGAAGGTGGTACGATGTGGGGTATCGGTTAAGTGGTGGGATGACGAGCTGAAAGAAGAAATAGGGGAACGTAGAGAAGTCTTCAAGCAGTACCTGAGTGAGGCGTCTGAGGAGAGTTGGGAAAAGTACAGGGCCAAGAGAAAACAGGTGAAGGGACTAGTGAAAAAGAAGAAAAAGTGTATTTGGGACGAAGTAGTGCAGAAGGCCAACGGAGGTCTGGAGGGAAACGTCAAGCAGATGTGGGAAGGGATTAGTGGAATGGTAAAAAAGACCGCGCAAGGGGGGGATACAGGGGTAGCAACTTTGCGAGGTGTGAACAGTGGATGAGTCAGCAGAAGGAAGGGAAAACGGAAGTTTTAGCAGGACACTACAAGAGACTTGGAGTGCCCTCGGAGAGTGAATCTTTTGACCAAGTGTTTAAGAAGGAGGTGGACGCATGGGCCCAAAAAGCCGAAGAGACATCGAAGGCAGACGTTGGGAACATAGAACTAGGAAAGGAGTTCACTGAGGACGAGGTTGGGGCGTGTGTGAACAAGCCGAAGTGCCACAAAGCAGCAGGAGTGGATGGGATAGTCAACGAATTCATGAAGTTTGGGGGGAAGGGGATGATCCAGCTGATGGTACTGCTATACAGTTGGGTGTGGAAAATCGAGTATACGCCAAGTAGACGGGGGGAAGGAGTAGTTGTGAACTTGTTCAAGAAAGGAGACAAGACTGACCCAGGAAACTACAGGGAGATCACACTGTTCAACACAGCAGGAAACGTGTTCTGTAAGCTGCTGAACGATAGGATAGTGGAAGTATTGGAGAAGGAACATAGCATTAGTGGGGGCCAGGCAGGTTTCCGAAAGAGGGGGTGCGTAGACCACGTATTCACGGTAGGGAGAATCATCCATCACGTAGACAGGGGGCGGGAAAGCCGACGTGCTGCTTCTTCCTGGACGTGAAAAAGGCATACGACACCGTATGGAGCAATGGGTTGTGGAAACAACTGTCCAAATACGGGATCAAGGAAAAATGTGGAGAGTGCTGAAGAAGAGGTCAGAGTGCACGAGAAGCGCAGTCATGTTAGACGGAGAACTGTCTCAATTCTTCGACATTGAGCAGGGGGTCCCACAAGGTTGCACGCTGTCCCCAATATTGTTCCAGGTGTTCATGAACGATCTGTTGGAAGTCGTAGAGGCAGTCCGGAAGGGAGTAAAAGTAGGGGACACGGCAACGTCGGTTTTAGGAATGCTGTCTGCGGATGATTTTGTCGGTATGTAGGACACCCCTGAGGGATTGCAACTGCAAATTGACGCTTCGAAGAAGTTTACTGATAAGTGAAAATTTTCTGCCAACGTTAAGAAGAGTGCCGTCATGATATGCAACGAGAACAAGGAGGAACCAGTAGAACATAGATGGAAGTGGGGGATCGAGGAGATTGCAGTAGTGGACCAGTACANATATGCAACGAGAACAAGGAGGAACCAGTAGAACATAGATGGAAGTGGGGGATCGAGAAGATTGCAGTAGTGGACCAGTGCACATACCTCGTAGTAGAGATCGCAAAAGACTGCTCGTGGAATGCACACATGTCAAAGGTGGCGGAAAAGAGCAAAGCACGAATTGCGAAGCTGCACCCAATCCTCGCAAACCGGCACCTCGATACACGCATTAAATGGAAGGTTTTGAAGAGCGTAGTCGTACCGCCGCTAGAGTACGCCGGAGAAGTATGGGAAGGAATTTAATGCTAGTGAAAGAACTCGAGGCGGCGAAGATGAAAGCAGCGAAAATCATGTTGTATATGTCCGCGACATGGAAGGGAGAGACTGAATATCGCTTGTATTAGAAACGCAGAAGCAAGA